TCCGCAAAGAAGGTGGTTAAGAGCTGAGCAAAGGGTATATCTGGGAGGACTTCCAGGCAGAGGGAACAGGCAGTGCAAAAGCCCTGAGGAGGCCTTGGAGCCTTGAGAAACAGCAAGTCTGCAGTGGCAGAACACACAGGACAAATGACAGGTGAATGGTGCCACTTAGGGTGAGGTGAGCCACAGCAGGGCTTTGAGCAGAGAGGTGACATGATCTGTAAGGTGACAAAGGCAGAAGCAGGGAGAAATGGTTGAGATTTTTCCAGTGTTTTTCTAACATTTCATAATGGGCATATGTTCATTTTATAATGAGAGAATAAAGTATAATTCAATTAAAGAAAGCACAATGCAGAAAATAGTATGGGTGCTATGACTGAAGCACAAGGAACCAGAGAAACATATAAGGAGTTTAGAGAAGTAATTCAGATGATGAGTGATAAAGCAGTTGGAAGACAGAGGAGGTTAAGCAAAAATTACTCTTCTTAATAAGAGAAGAAATATAACCACAATGCAAAATACATGATCTCAGCACCTTGACAATCAAATTTTAACATCATGGTGTATTTCCTTCCAAGCTTTCTTCCTATGCATCCTTTTGTTTTTCCCCTTAATTGTTCTATAACGCCTAGAACATTGTGGGCACTCAAATATTCATTAAAAAAATAATGACCAAATGCTTCAAATAACTTTGTGTTTGGATTTGTTCATGTTACATTAGCTCTATTATAAGCATTTTCCGAAGTAGTTTTAATAGACTTGGGTGATGGAAAGGAAATTGTGGGTGAGGAGAAGGCTTGGTCACAGAGGACTAAGGTGTCAGTCCGTCTACGAGGATGGTGGTGATAGTATTGACAAGGGTGCCAGCAGGAAGCAATCTGATGAGGAAGCTGCTGAGTTTCATTTTGGGGTACACAGAAGGTCCCTGCAGAGATGCCCAGCTGTCTCAGGGCTCAGGAAGCAGGTGGAGCCTCAGGATGGAAGTGGTCAAAGCAGAATTAGTCAAGAAGGAGGAGTGGTAGCAATATTAGTAGCCCTACTTCGTACCAGACATTGTGCTAAGTCCTCACACACCTTCCCTCTTCTAGTCATCACGGCTGCCCTGTGAGGTGGGGGTATTCATGTGCGCATCTGGTAGATGAGGATGCTGCAGGCCTAGCAATTTGCCCAGCTACTCCACAGCAGAGCCAGGACTCACACCTACAAACACGAGGACTCGTCCCTCTCATTCTCTTTTCTGTTAATAGAAGCTTAAAATATACTCAGAAGCTCAGGGAGAACATGTCTTACAATGCTTTAGTTTTGTAGTGCCTGGTTTTTTGCTCCCAACTTCCAGAGACCGCCCCCAGCCCCCCACCTGGCAAAAAAAAAAAAAAAAAAAAGAAAAAAAACATTCCCTTCGTTTTCTGAAATATATTTTACATGTTTTCCGACCTAAAATTACAGCCTGTTGGGCGTCTCGTTTTTTCATGTGTAAGGAGTCTTCTCTCCTACCAGGTAAGGAGCTCCAGGAAACCACTTCCCCACAGCAGTAGCCCCACAGTCTCCACACCATCAGTGGTCAGCAAACACTCTGTGATGAAAACACTGACCTTCACCTGCCTGTCACTCCAGAGCCAGTGGGACGCTGGTGGTGGTAGGTGACCTGAACACCCTCTGGCTCAGGTGAGGCAAAGCCAAGCCCAGATGGACAAGCACTCTTGAAAGATGGTGGAACAATGGGCAGATGAATTTGGTTGGACAGGCAGACAGATATGAGGAGATAAGGCAATTTCCTTTTTCCACATGGCTTGCTAGGAAACAGGGTCTGCAAGCCGGTTGGCCCACGGGCCAAATTCAGCCCACCCATGCGCAGTATATGGCTCATATATGGTTCTAACTTGTTATAATTTTAATTAGTTACTATCTTTTAAAATGTGAAAGATTTCGCAAAAAATCTGGATTTATACAAGCAGCCTCCTTTGGACAGTCCCACCCACCCCACCCACCTCCCAGTATGTCTTTGTCAGGCCCCACCAGCACTGACTGGGGCAGCCTCAGCTGAAGGTCCTGCCCAGGATAGGGCTGCAATGCCAGGCCGGGTCCGAGCTCACCTGTCACCGGGAACACCAGGCACCAGTACTCACCAGCAGTCAGGGTAGTGAAGTCCAGGAAGCGGTATTCATAAGACACATCTATCTTGGTTTCAACCTGAGGCCTCTTCAAAGTCGAATAGATATTTCCAGGCCGTTTGTCATCGCGTTTCTCTAACTTGTTCAATCTACAACCCATCTCAGCAGCTGCCAGAAAAAGGCGGAAAAAAAGGAAGGGGGTGATTTGTTTTTTCTGTGAGATTTTGTTTTTAAACACCATAGTATAAAAGACTCCATAATTTCCCTGAAGAATACATAAGGGACTTCAGCCTTTATGGAATCTAGAGTATAATTTAATATATGACCTAAACACCAGAGGAACTGTGCTTAGTACCCAGGCTGACTTCTCTTTCTGTTAAGATATCATTACCAGACATCCTGTGATTCTGAAATAATACCGAAAGCATATGTCCTCTATATCTTTTCTCCCTTATCTGAGGGAGATAATACCCCAGAGTGCCTCAGTTCTACTATGATCTGTATATATGATTAAAAAATGGAATCCAAAAAGCAATACAGTGTATTATGGTGTCAGCCCATCTAAAAAAAAAGAGAGAGAGATGTGTCACCTTCACTGTGGTTGCTGAGAGAGAATATTAAGTTGTTGTTTCAATTTCCCAAAGTCCTTTCTACCCTCAACAGTGATTACTTAGAAGAGAATTCATATTCATAAAACATCTCTAAAAGTACATGGCGGTATTTTTATGGGCCTCGTCTAAAAGTCCCCCTTTCTTCTTTTTTTAGACCAAACCACAGGAATAATAGTGTGCTTCTACGCTCTCAGAGAGTCATTTCAGACCAAAATGAAAACTCGCTGAACACTAATAGCAGGGCCAGAGAAACTGGAAGCAGAAATCCACGTGTATTAGAGCGAAGAATTGTAGCTATGGTTTGAAAAGAAAACGGAGAGATGTTAAAATAATGTGCATATAAGGGTGGCTGAGCTTCCAGTCTTCCAGGGGATTAAAAACGATGAAGGTGCTTTGTTTATTTCGGCAGAATGACAGTCATGAAATGACTTTCTATCCCCTCCCCAGACTTCAGTGGAAGATATTTTCCTTTTGTGCACTGAGCATGACCAATACTTCCCCCATCTCCGGGATACTGGCGCTGCCATCAGAATATATTTCACAAAAATATTAACTGGCCAAGAATATCACAAACAGAAACGTGGTGACTGCTTCCTTTTAGAGATAAGAATTTCCTTTTGCTCAATCCATTCACAAGGTACCCAGCTTCCTAAGGCAATTTGGCAAGCTCCAGAAAAACAAAATAAACCTCCAAAAAGCAATGAGGGTGTGTGTGGGGGTGGGGAATGTAAAAGAGGGTGGTGGAGCGACAACCGGTCTATACTTTTCAGTAATTAAAAAAAGTCTGGAAGGATGGATGAGAACAGGAAGGCTTACTTATGCCTTAATAAGGGAACATTAGCGTCCAAAGGGCCAGAGCAGACATGATTTATGTGCAATCTGCATGAACTGATTACTTGTAAAATACTCTGTAGTTCTGCAGATTTAATAGCTGATTTGTACAGAGGCTGCATATTTAACTGCTAAAAAGCAAGCCGACTGGCATGTGCTTGGAAAAAGCAGAAGAAAAGTGGACAGGGAGGCTCCTAAGTATTGGGGACCAGGGAACCCTGGCTAGATGAGCACTGTTACCACTAGAACAGAACTGGAAATAACCCAGAGGCTTACCAAGTCACTCACTCACCTACCCCACCTAATGGACTGAGTGTTTGGGGATCTCCAAGAAGAAACCACTTCCTCAAAAATACTCTTATTCTTGCTATCCTGTTAGGTAAGTTCTGGTACTAGAGATTCATTCCTTTGAAATCAGAATCACCCTACCTCAGTATCTCCTTGAAAACCACAAATATCTCCACGAGAAGAGCAAGAAACCAAACTCCTGGTAGCCACTAACAACTTTAGTATGATTTAGTTTCTTCTGTAGAGGACAGGTTCCCTGGCAGCAGAAAAAAATCAAGAAGAGGGTTACCAGGATGAGTAAGAAAGATTCAGACGAGGTTGGGAGCTAGAGGAAAGGCATGCCAAGAAGCATTAGAAAAACCCTCCCAAATTACAACTTTGAGTTTAAGGTTTCGGTCAGACTGTCCGGAACTGGACGTATTTGCCCAAGTTCATCCCAAAGGGCACTGTGCTTTTCTCACAAGACATGATGTGGCTCTAGGGAAATCATCTATGAGATCATACACAGAAAAGATAAACAGTGGCAAACAGTAGCAAAACTGTAATATCACTGAATCCTTGGGGTTTCAAACTTTAGAGATTCATTTCTTTGGCGCGCGTTCAACCCTGGTCAAGCAGCTACTCTTAAGGCACAGTTCTCTCTGGGAAAGGCAGCATGTGAAGCCGTTGCTGGCCACTAAAACCTTAGTGTGAATTTGTACCTTATTCTTTTGTGTCAAGGACCCTACTGGCACACTTGCATTCCTTAGTTCTTTCCTTCACTCTACCAACCTCCACCCGTCAAAATAGAAAAGACTTTATACCATTCCAAAAATATCTATTAGTCCTTACTTTGTTCAAACAAGTCAGAAAAATCTAGCTTAGAAAAGGGAGGAAAAATAAGATATAACAATGCCTTACATTATTGTAGAGTTTTATAAACTTTACAGTTTACTATGCAAGGTTCCCAAATCAAACTCACAATAGAATCTGGCAAGAGGCCTGGGGCGGGGAATGAGTATGAGCCTTTGAGGGAAGAGAGAAGTGAGAGGCAGAGGGAAAAGTGAAGAGAACAGCCTCGTCAGGCAAGACGACACCTAATGTGGTTGTACATTCTCTCACGCAGACATTCAGGCACATCTCCCTCAGGGTTCGAGGTTTCTAGTAGGGTGGAGAGTAAATGGTAAATGCGATAGTTTCTAAATATAACCCCAAAATCCTTTGACACTCCTGCCATCAAGAGGTGGGGTCTATGTCATGCCCCACCCCCCAACCCTGAACCTGGGCTCCAAGAGAACATGGTAGAATAACACAGTGCCAGCTCCTGGACCGTGGCCTTAAGAAACTGGAAGCATCCACTGCCTGACTCTTGGGATGCCCACTCTTGCATTCCAGCCACCATACTATGAGGAAGCCCAAGCAGCCCCAAAAGGGAGGCATATATGGAGAGGAACCAAGAGCCAGCACCAACTTGCCAGCCATCTTGCCAGTGAGCCATCTCGGAAGCCTCTGGCTCTATCAAGCCACGGACACCACATGGAGCAGAGGAAAGCTATTTCCACCAAGACCTGCCCAAACTGCAGATACCTGAGCAAAAGACACCACTGTTGCAATTTTAAGCCTCTAAGTTTGGGGGTGATTTGTCATGCGACAGGTAACTTATACACCAAGTTTGTTCAAAATGACCATGGTCCGCTGCCTCCTCAGTCAAGCACCAGCTGAGGTTGGCCTGCATTTATGGGCCCTGCTTTGGCCATTCGCCCTTGGAAGGAAATCTGGGTTGTTTCCAGTTTGGGTTTATTATGAATAGAGTGGCTTGTAACATTCACATAGAGGATTTTATGAGGCATAAGTTTTCATTTCTCTAGGGTAATACCTAGGAGTGGGATTGCTGGTATGGTAAGTGCAGGGTCCTGTTAACAAACAGTGATTCCCTTTACACACTCAGGGTGGCTAGATGCTAACCCCACAGGAGGAAGGCGAGACCCTCTGAGAGACCAATAAATTAGCCCCCCCACCTCCTGTTGACTCTGGGGCATCAGCTCACTGAGTGGAATCACGAGCAGCGGTACTATTCTGGCTATTTCTCCTTTTGTTTTTGTCTGTTTTCGTGAAGGAAACATGCTAAAAATCACCTATGTGTGTGATATTTTCCCAGTACTTTTCTATGGTCCATCCAACTCCTGGAGCTCTTCCCCTTCAAATTCCTGTAGTTACTGCACGTTGACACCTCATATAAATCAGTTTACATATTTTATGTGTGAGTTGATCAGTGAATCAGCTTTGATTATCTGACATTCATTCAGATTTTTTTCTCTCTTTATATTTTTGTCTTCCTAGAAGACATCCCTATACCCATGTGTATGAGTCTCTCTAGCATCAAGAAGCCAAGACAAAACAATCCACGAGGTTTTAAAAGGTAGAGAAAAGAGAGGTGAGATTCCTACGGTGAGATAACATGAAAAGAGCCAAAATATACTCACAGCTCTCTAACAGAAACAGGCTAAAGGTAATTAGGACCTGGATGCTGACTAGGGAGGAAAATAAGGTCATCACTGGGAGGTTTTGAGACCCAAGTACAAGGAGAGGACACTGGACATTGCGAATGACCAAGAAGCAAAGATCCCTCAAATGGTGACATTCTCAAAAATCAATTCTTTCCAAATCAAACCTAGAATGGGGTGTGTCTTTGGTATATGGTGGACAGCTTCATGCAGAAACTGTCAGCTCCGTGAGGAAGGGTACTAATATTCCAAATTCATGCACTCATTCATTCACCATGCATTTATTAAGGTTGGCTTTGAGTCAGGCTTTCAATCAGGAAATATAAAAATGGGAAGCCAGGCCTTTCTTTTAAGGAGATGGCAGGTGAAAGGAGGAGAAAGACAATGAACAGATACACATGGTGCAGTGAGGCTGGCTGCTCTACAGGTCTGGGCGGAGTGCAGGGCACTCAGAGAAAACCGCTGTGATATAAAACAGGGAGCCATCGCCATAGACTTGGTTCCAGAAAAAGCTGATCGGCAATGGGACATGATGTCCTGTGTCATTTTAAATGTCGAAATGTTGAAATTTTTATTTTAAAAGTATTTCTAATTTGTTTCTGAAAGGCTTCCCAAGATGACCATAAAACACTGGAAAACCACTTCAAAAAAGATCTCCTCCTTAAAAGATGATTTTTCAGCTAAGGTTTATAAAAACCTCAGTTTAAAGGTTCATTTTTACTATCAATTAGCACGCACACATTTAAATAATGGGGGCAATATATGTAGTTATATTTTCAAATACAAATTAGTTTCATTAAGAGTGAGCCCTCATTTACCACACTTGCCACTAATCTGAGATAGACTGTAAAGCTAATTTTAACAATTGCCAACAGCTCATGTCAGGCAAACAGAGACAGGGCAATTATATGCAATGACGCTAGATCAGCTGGCAAACTCATTTTTATTTCTACTC